TCAGAGGCTTGAGGAGTCAGTATAGTCTAATGTTAATGTTAAAGGCCGTCTATGCAGGCAGGATGTTAGCCAAGCTGTTTGTTCTGCTGGCTTGAATGGTCGCGTTGTATCGTCTGTCCACAATATCCGCTCTGTGTCGGTGAAACGCCGAGTGGCATACTGTACATTCTGGTGGAGGTGGGTGTGGGACGAGGGCTGACTGAACTCAGAACAAAGGCGGAATCAGCAGGAGACGAGACCTGGTTCGTCCTGAGGAGACTGAGTCCCTTTTTTATAAACAAAGACTTTAGTGGAGGAAGTTCGAACTTAAATGTTTTGATTTTCTTTATCTGAAATTTAAAAAGCAGAGTGTCGAGAGTTGGACTTGCAGTATTTGCACAATAGTAGCCTGCTCATTCCTTACTCACGTAGGAGTGCCGCAGCATATCAAGAAGTGTGTGTGTGTGTGTTACAATAGGCTTTCTCCTGAAAGGAAAGGGAGAAATGTGGTGGGTGGGACAACCGCCTCTGTACTGCTACAACTTGCTTCTGTCTGACTCCTGTGCTGCAGCAGCTTGTTATGTATGAGTAACAGGCATTTTTTTACAAGGCACATGTCAAAATGTCAGACTCCTGGCCTGGCTTCGGAGTGCTAGAAACAAACATGCAAAAAAGCTACTTTTAATGAAAAATGGACAAAATAACTTACCAGATCAGGATGGATATGGATAACCAGTCCGTCTAAGATTATGTAAATGTGTCAGTATAGATGTACAGTATCTGTTGGACATGGTCTCACTGAACACAGAGAGAGATGTTTCTGCCAGTAGGTGGCAGCAGCACCGCAGCTACCTATAGTCACACACAAGCCGTCTGACCGCACACACACACCAGACACAAGCACAGCAAACCCAGTGCACCTCTGATCAGCTCAGTGGATCAGCCTCATTTGTCTCACTTTTACTTTGACAGCCACACTATTAAACATTTCTGCTGCTAGTAGCAAACCAGGTGTCCTCAGAATCGACTGTTTAGCAAAATGAACGACTTTTTCTCTTGACCGGCAAATAGGCAGTTTGATCCTGTGAACCCATGTGTCAAAAAATGTCCAAGGCGGTAACAATCACACATCTCACTTGAAACTAGTAAAACTATAATTTTTATAATAACAATGAGCTAGATACTGAGAAACATCCAGCTGTTGAAGATTGTAAGTATCCCTAATTTTACCTGTGAGTTGATCCACAAATGTATCGTTAAAAAGTGAAACAAAATCGGGCAGAATTAGCCACAAAAAAATGAGTTTAAGTGAAGTGAAAAGCTGCAGCCTCAGCTGGTGATGAGTCGGATTGGATGAATGGATAAATGGATGTCTCTCTTGAGGATACAACATCTTAATCACAGCTGGGGTCATCACGCGTCCACATGAGCCTCCAGGGAGGTCAGGTCAAAGGTCGCTCACTCGCTGCCCTGTGTTGTCCTCAGGGATGATGGGACAATGAGAAATCGATGTATGGGACACAGGCTTGAGGTTAATGACTTGAAGGACATGGCTTTGATAGTTGTACGTGGAAATTGTCTAGGTTTGGACATGGATAGGATTTGGAATACTGTTAGAAAAGCTTCTAAACTAAGATGCGGATTGTACAACAGAAATGTTGTTGTTATTGTGGATTGAGGGCCGGGGCACGTCCATCAAAATATAGGAACTTCTTTTGTATAGGCAACCGGAGACCAGACCACGGCCTCCACACCCTCTGTTCACATCCATACAGAGTGTGCACAGAGAACAAGATTCATATGGCTGCTGTCATGATCATGTTACCGTCCTTTCTCTCAGTGAAACTACAGATTGAAGCAACAAAGCAGTGGTTCCCTCCCCTGACATCCTGCTATCTGTCTGTCTGGGCCTATTGATGACCTGCTTTACACAATCAATACATGAAATAGGGACAGTTGGCTTCATGGGTGAGTGTAGTAGTAGAGCAATCACTATGCGCTTTGTTTAAAGGTCATGCTGGCACATTTGTAAATCCATATATATTTGACGTTACTGTTGTTTTTTGTTTTATATTCCTTTTCTACATATCAGTGGAACAATAGTAGAAAAGTAAAACGTATTCACTTGACCAGTCTGATGAGCCAAGGAAATGACCAAGATCAGAATTAAGTCAAACTCTGCTCAGTGAGAGTTTGCTGCAACACCCGATTTCCAGAACTCGAATCTAAACAAGTGAGGTGAGATGAGGTGCAGCTTTACAAAGGTTTCATTCATCATTCATATGTTTGAGTTGTTCACATTTAAATATTTTCACATTGTGGCCACTTGATACAGAGGGACCCTCGTGAAATAATGCTGCTGTACAGTAATGTAACCCAGGAAGACACTAAGAAGTAGGAGTGAGGTGGATATAGGGGCAGTCTGCTCTTATCTGATCCACCACACTTGCCTCAGGCTTGCAGAGACATAAGACACATGCATGCTCAGCAACATGACAAGAGCGCTTACTTGGGCAGTTTGTATAGCTCAATAACCCAGTTAATTGTGGTTTGATGTCAATACAGTTCCACATCCTCGCCGCTGTGAACATGGCTTGTACGAGACTGCTCACTGTCTCTGGATCAGTAAATGGAGGTTGCAGCTCTTCTCTGTCAAGCAGCTGACCAGGTTGAGCTCTTTGCCCTTCGTCCTTGAACTCTTATTTTAATGAAAGCCCTGTGTTCAGTGTCTTAAAAGGTGCATGAGGAACTAAGATTCTCATTTTGTCATCATGAAAATTCCTCTTATACTGATTCCTGTTTTCAGCCGAAGGAAACGATAACAAACTTGAGAAATTTCCAGCCTGTTAGTCACAGCTCATTCAAATAACAACCAGTATGGGAACTAGACACTCTAAATAAGGCTATTACATTTCTTTCTGGCATTGCCAACTAGTCCTCTGGTAGCAGTGATTTAATGATATCAACCTGCAAAACCGGACGTCACCTGTATCTTTCATCTCCAATGTTTAAACTCTGGTTTCTGTTTTCTCTCTGTACACGCCCACTCTTTTTCTTTCTTGTACATCTCTCTCTTACTTTTCTCTCCTTATTTTTCCCCTACTACCCCTACCTTTGCTTCCTGAGTCAGACAGAGCCAAAAACACCATCGTCAGGCTGAGGTGTGTTGGTCCATTGCATTAAAGGCTCTGTAATCCTGGTGTTGATCTCTGCTTCCCCTGGCTCCCACTGCTTGACTCAGTTTGCTTGTCCAAACACACATACACTCTTACACATGATTCATAATTCCTTACTAATTGAATATCATATTTGAGTGTGTCATCTTTTCAGGGGTTTGATTTGTTTATGCTGGTTACAAAATCTAGCACAGCCTCTGGCTACACAACCATAGAGTACACAGAACACTTTTGTCCAACTTTCAGTATTTGTATGAAATGCTTGACAATAATTTTATGACAAAAAAAATCTAAAGTCTGTTTACACTCTAAACAAAAGCAGTATTCAGGAGATTAATGCTCCAGCAAAGGAAACGCACACTGCAAATATGAATTTGGCCTCTAGGGACTTTCTGATTTATTAGTTTCAGATTAGAGCATTGTAACTTTCCCAGTTTTTTGTGGGTTCCTGCTAAACTGCAGCTGTGCCTCGGCTTTAGCCTAAAGAGGGACATTTGTTAGGGAGGGTGTTTTGTCAGTTCAAGCATGACAAGTTTCAAAGCCTGGTGCAGCTTTTTTGTTTAAATATTCCCATCTGTCTCAACTGCTTGGATATAGGTGAATATTATATTTATATTATTCCTCCAAATGTTTAACTGTTCTTTTGACCTGCGTGTTTACCTTCAACTCGTATACATTGCCATCTAAAAAAAATCTGTGTACCGCCAGTTAGACTGGGATAATACATGGTGAGGATTTCCAAAAGGAAATAAGTCGTCTCTCCTCTCTGCACTGAATTAGCCTGCATCTATCTGTGTGTGTCTTTGAGCATGTGTGTGCACGTAAGCAGTCGGCCATGAAGTCCACCTGTTAGAAGTAGCTGTTTGTTTGATCCCACAGATGCTTATGAGAAGCTGTTCCCTTCTCACACACACACACACACACACACACACACACACACACACACACACACACTCTGTCATCCTCTTAATGTTTTGACAGCTGGCCCTGATAGAGGAACTATTTTAAGGCCTGTGGTGGATATATCTGTGTGTCTCGCTGCTGTCATGTGCACTGATAAGTGGTACGCCTGCCTGTCTGTCTGGTTTGAGGGTGTCAATTTGATAGGCAGTGTTCGCATCGTCCAAGCGGCTTCTGTCTGAGAACACCAGCACTGGACGTGATTTACATGGTGCTGAGACGTTCCACACACTCAAAACAATGAGCTAATCTTTTAAAAAGCTTTGACTTTTAAAATGCTGCAGCAAACTCAGCGGTTTTTTAGGTTTTTACAGACTTGCATGGTTAATATGTTTATTGTTTGAAAAAGCAGAAAACTTGATTTCTGAAATGGCTTCTCACTTGAAGCAGAGGTCACAATGTTATGCATATCTTATGCAATCCAGTCTGTCAGATTGGGCAGCTGTGGCTCAGGAGGTAAAGGGGGTTGTACACCAACCAGAAGGTGCTGGTGGTTCGGTCCCTGTAATTCCTGCATTCTGTGAAACTAATTTTCCCTGATGGCTGTGCTGGCAGTGTGTGAATGATATGTGATAGAGAAGGTGTTCCACATGGATGCACTGTGTGAATGGGTGAAACTGTAGTAATATAATATTTTTTAATTCAAGCTCTATATATTTGTGCATTTGTGTTTTCTTTTTCTTTATATTTAAATTACACTAAAGTTTATCCTCAAACTTTACAATATCAAGTCTCAATTATATTTCTTCATCATAAGTGTTTGATAACAAGATCCTAGGTAACATTGCTAATGTTTTTATTAATACATTTTAATACCATCTCACCTGTTGGATGTCAACCTGCTTAGTAATAGTGAATTCATTCCTTCATCTCTTTATCCTACAGGACCTTCACACAATCTACTGCCACCTCTACCACATGGACGTCCTCTCTCACCTCAGGGAACACCAGCTAAGGTAAAGTCTTTATTTTCTGCTTTTGAAAGATGAGTCAATCACAGTATCAGCTTATTTGTTTGACTGTAGAATAGCCTATAGGCCAATTTTCTGCTTGAATAGTTATTATATATGGCACACCCTGCCCTAACAAGTTTAAGAGTGATTAGATTTTTTCAAATGCCTTTTGCTCCATGTTTTCTTTGTGTTCACAGAAGATTCACGCTCAGGTGCTTGTTAAACGTTCAAACCAAACATGTTTTGAAATGTTCTGTTTGAATGGCAGAAATGTGCGGAATGTGGTTTATGCTTGTTTGGTTCAGTTGAGCAGATCGTTATCAGCCCTCCTGACTAATAATTCCACAATGACAGGTTTTATTATATTGATGGTTCTAACTATTGATGGCAAGTTGATGAAAAGTCGTAGAAAACCTCTGTCCAGTGATCAAAATTAAGTTCTCGTGGAGGCATTCGACTTGTGTCTGCAAAACTTGGGCTCGCTTGACTAAAATTCAAACACACTGCAAAATTCTGGCTCATCTCAGACCAAAGAAAATGAAATGATGGTTGGGCTGCAGCTAGAAAACGAATAGTGGGTCACCTTAACACTCGGAGCTGACAGGCAGTAATGATGGTGTCTAAAACGGGAGAGCTTTTCTCAGAAGTCTGGAATGGATGTGTGATGGATTGTCAGAGATGTATTATGTTTTTTTTGGAGGGGAAAAATTTCACATCCTTATCTTTTTCAGGTCGATGTGTACCTCGGCGAGATATGAGAGACATGAGGCTAACCACGTCCTGTTCTAGTAAGTACAATTCCTCACAAGTTGCAGGAAGTGCTCTCTTTTCTGCTGAACTTAATCTCTCTCTTTATTGAAATAACTTTTAATCAGAGTTGTTTTATCAAACAGTTGTTGTTTGTAATCGAATTCAATGTTTTTACCCATGTTTGTTTCCTGATTCAGTTATTGGTAGCTGTACGCAACTTCTAAATGTCCTTATCTTTTATTTGACCCTTTGACATCCACCCTAAAGATTTGAATTAAAATATAGAAAAGGTTAAAAGGTTCCCTGTTTTATTTATTTTTTGCTGGGGTCTGTGTCTTTTTTCCGGGCAATCCACAGTCCAAACACATGCAGATTGGAATAAATTCAAGTATGTAAATTGACCATAGGTGTGAATTTGACTGACCTGACCAGGGTGTGCCCCACCTCTTGCCTTATGTCAGCTGGGACCCTCAAAGGATAAGCATCACAGATAATGGATGGATGGAAAATGTTCAAAATAAAAATGTGGATTAAGCCTGATGTTATATCATCCACATTGTGTCGTTTCTTAGAAAAGATGTTTTAACAACCCATTAGAACCTCATGTCTTGTGCTGTAGGTGCTTTTTTGCATTTGATCCATTTTTCTAAAGCCTAAGTGTTGGTTAGAGGACAGTGATGTAAAACTGACGCTAATGTTGACAGATCCACTGATAGCTTGCCTGCCTTCTTTCAGAGGGTTTGAATAAATGGATACTCAGGTGGATGAGGCAGAAAGACATCAGTTTATCATAATATAGGGTGGGAATTTAGAGGAACACTAGTCAAGGGGAAGGTGGAGTAAAGGATGAGCGGGGGGATGACAGAGGAATAGTCTATAGGAAAGGCAGTGGAGTGTGTTGAAAAGAGAGGACAATAGATGTTGAGATGATGAGAAGACAAGGTGGGGAAATGAGGCACGTAAGGAGTTACATTAGAAGAGGGTGCAGAGAAGTAGACAAATTTGGGCGAAGAAAGAATAGAAGGAGGAAAGGATAGCAATGTTGAGAGGGAGGTGAGACGTGGTGAGAAAATGAAGTAAGGGGAGTTTGAAACAAGCTAGGAGAGGGATGAAGGCAGCTGGGATGTGAAGGAAGTGTGAGAGATGTCCTGTTGATGTATTATAGTCCTCGCTAGAATCACATTAGATACTCAGTGGTTTCATTTACCATCCAATAAACACACACCAACACACACACACACACACATGCAGGCACGCACACACACTTGCTCTCTTTCCTCTCTACCAGGAGCCAGTCTTTAGTACCTTAACCCAGAACAAAGCACCTGCCATGTACAATTAATCAGTATCACATACACACACACACACA